AGAATATAAAGATACTGTACATTCTGTGTTTTCAGTGTCAGAATTTTCCAGACCTAGGGGCAGCAGGAAGCCACTAATTAACTCAAAGGTTTTTTTATTGTCACAGAATGTGCAAATAACATGAAGCTACTTTTGACAAAGCACAGACTTTCTTCAGTTTCCTGTCTGCAAACCTCCTCCAGTATTTCTTAGTACTTTGACCTACATAGAACGAGCTTATCCGGCCCTGACGGAGCTGTTTTTTAGTACTGATACATTCAATTAACTGTAGCGCCAACAAACAACTGAGAAAATATAGTACCTTCAAAAGTAGGAAAAAGTCTGCAATAAATATTCATCTTCTGACCATGTCAGTTCTACAGCAGTTTACAAAGCCTGCATTTCTACAAACTAATCTTTCTTGAGCATTACGACAAACGTTCCGCCTTGTGTTATGAAATCCATGCAATTTTCTAGCAGCGAGATTCTCCCCTCAGTAACTCTTGAAACAACCAGATGTATGTTGAACTTCCTAATTTAATAGTAATAAAAGCAGTAAAACACTATGCAATGCACATTTCCCATTTTGCCTCACATTCCATTCACACTTTCACAGGGTGAAGACAATGCCTTTTCAGTCTCAGTTGGTGATGCTTCTGAGTGGAAAGCACAGAAATAGTAAACACCTACAAGGACAATGGCACCAAAGCTTTAACTCACCTAAGGACAGTCAAGCTCCCAGAAACTAGGGATGTGAATTTAGCTCATTGTTTGTCATGTATAGTGTTTCTGACATGACTGCATGGGCCTTGACTATGTCTCTGTCTGGACCATATTGCTGTGGTATTAATGCTATTAATGGACTAGGAGCTAAATGTGTAATGTTAGAGAAGGACATGATAAGAATCAGACCCTAAAAACCACACTAAACTTTTATGATTATCTACTTCAAACAGCTGTGGGATGTTGTGATAATATGGTGATAGTTATTTCACATAAGCCAGATGACATGCTCAAATGAGACGAGCAGGTAATGGCTATCATCTAGACTACAATTAGAAGCATGCCAGGTTGACGTGAATAACCACCCACTCCTGTACTTTTGTCATGCTTATACACAAATACAGCTGTAAGGCATGTTGTCTGCTGACTGTTCTCTTCCTGTTTACTTAAAGTATTTATTAAGCCACACTTACATGCACACAACTGTAGTTAAACATAGAGTATGTGTCTGAGTTTGATGGGTGTATCCACTGATTCTGACGTAGGACACACAGACAACAGCCACACTACATATTGTAAATACGGAATACTGATCCATTGAACACTGTTATCTGTTGGCTGGATGGTCATTAAAAACTAGTGGGGGAAGGAACCATCTGCAAATGCATTTTCATTATTGTCTGATCAAAATGCAATTGCGAAAGTGAGCTTGGTCTTTTACTAAAAACCACTAAGTCATAACACCAAAGGCAAAAACACACAGGAAGTCATTTTGCTGTGATTTGGTCGTGGCTCATTCTAAGTCAAGGAAAACCGGAAATGGTCTCAGCTTGCCTGAGAGCTGTTATGGTGTGTCCACTGGCATTTTTTTATATTAATAAAGCCCTGGTCGCCCAGGGACCATAGCAGGGGTTGTAAAGCAGCTAGCTGGTGGCAGTCTGTGCTGAGCACGATTTATCAGCACTCCACACACTAAGACAAAGCGCAGTTATTATCAAACCATCAGGCATGTACTGGACAAACAGTGCTGCTGTTTTAACAGACTTTATTTCTAACAATGTCATGTTACAGTATGTTTCTGCTGAGTCTAAAGAAACTATTGCTTAAGCTGTTAGAAATGTGTTATTGGCTTTGTTCAAATCTAATCAATTTTGTACCAATAAGATTAAAACATAAATTAAATACAGGATTCACAACAGCCCATTCCGCTTTGTATTTATGGGAATGAGATAGTCTTGCGCAGAAAAGTATTATGCCACTGCAGGACTGTCAACAAACACTGCGATGAAGTTAGCTTTTGAGAACCCCGGAAATGTAAAATACCAAGAATAATAAATAAATAAATAACTTGGAAAATACAAGGATAGCTTTCCCCTGGTTTATCGAAAGTAAAACCCACTGCTGTCAGCATGTGACCTAGGGTGAAAGTAACTACCAGTGATCTTGTAGCTAATGTACCGAGCTGGCCCGCTGCCGTTAGCTTGATGTTACTGTTCCTACCAGCCTCCTTACCTGTGCTGTCAAATGGATCCATGGTAGGATATCTCAGAGAGATCCCCGCGAGCAAAACCTGCGGACCTTTTACAGCAGCTCCACGGATGTGATGTTTTTATAGCTGGCCACAACCCACCGCAGACTATGAGTCGCTCACAGTAAATAGCAGGCTAACCTCACTGTACTGACGTTAGCTACGGAATAGCTAGCTTGCAACTAGCCAACTTCTGACAGTTCTGACTGAAAGACATTAGTTGACTAGCTAGCGTTAGCTGGCTCCCATAACTTTATCGCCCATAGCTGTGTACTACAGTAACACGTGCACATGTCGGCGCACTGCAAGCTATCAAAGTGTATAAATAACCGTTTATCCCGAAGAACTCAATGAAATCTCGAAAGAGCAAATAACACTTTCCTTCCTCCAGGTCCAGTTGTTGACAACGTCACATCAAATTGCAATACTGGCATCTTATTGGACGATAGTGCAGAGGCGGGGCCAGGGCGACACACACACACACGCACACATTTTTAAGACGTTTGTGTGGACATGTATTACTTTACATTCATCCATGAAGGTTACCTCTACAGTAACTGACGTGCTTAAATGGTTAGCATGACTAAAACAAAACACACACTTAACTATTTGTGAGTTAAAGGCATAGACTGTAGTCTATGGATAAAGGTAAAGAACACTGTGCTAACCAAAGGCAAAATTTACTGTAACCAAAGACTACATCCAGGGCACAAAGAAAACAGGTCAACCCACCCAAATCAAAAGTCTTATTTCATTTTTAATATCTATTTATTTGTCACATAACAGCACAGGAAGGAAAGCACATTTCAGCTGTCTGCACATTGTGCTTATATATGCCAGATATATTTAAAATAAATGAAATCTTATTGTTGATTTGACTGTACTTGTGAGGACATTGATTCACATTAATTCCCTGGAAGTCAGTTGTAACCTCACCAATAAGACCCCAAGGCAGAAGAGGCTGAACTTGGGGTCAGGTTAACTAAGCATCATAAGGCTGGTTAGGGTTAGAAGTAAAAGTTAGGCTCAGATTAAGGTGGGGCAAATACAAAATAAACAAACTTCCCATACTCTACAGCTTTTGGATCTTTCACTAACCTTACCTGATTCCAAACCTATTCATCATTGTTACCATAAAGTTTAACACTATGACTTACCCCTAAAATAAATATAAACATGATAAATACCACACAGACCATAACACAGGGATGTATTTCAGTCAACACATCACAAACGAAGGTTCCAGGAGGTACAAGGGACCATTTTATTGTCTGTTTGGAGAAGAATCAGTTTACACAGCATTTGTGTGTTACTTTGATTAAAATTTCCAAGTAAAACACAACTTCAGAACACTTTCAAATAGCCTTTCTCTTTTTGTGGTATGTGTCAGCCACCACCTCTTTTTCTGCTGCTGTTCACTTCATTTGCTCATTCAGCCAGTTTCTCAGGGTTCCTAGGTTTCTCTGAACCCAGCGGACATTTTTCCGCACATTATCCAGAGCAATCTGAACAGTTCTCAGCTGAGACGTCTGTTCCTTGATGGACTCAAAGAACAACTGCACCTACGGGTCAAATACACACAACATTACACAAACACAAAAAAGGACACAACTGAAAGGTAGACAAAAATGTAAAAATTCAAAGACATTTTTCCTTTTTGAGATAAAGTCACAACCTTATACTGGCAAAATGGATCACACACTTGTTAATACTTAGGGTTTATAGATACAGTTTGACTTATTTAGGCCAGAACCAAAATATTTTACTGAAAACATACTTTTAAATGAGTACAAATACAGGTATAAATAGGATGAGTTTCTCTGGCATTTTCAAGTGATTTCCTAACACCACACTATAGCTAAAATGTATCATTAATTTGATGCTTCATCGGATTATGTGCAGGAATAAACATATCGGTCAACTTTTGGAAAATAATGCCAATAGAAATAATATTTATGTTTTGCCAGTTTCAGTGTCAGGTAATAGAAATAGCATGTTAGTGTATTGGTGAATATCTAAACTGCCTTTTAGAATTTAGAATATAGTTTGAGATTTAAGAATGTATTTACTTCAGTGAGTTCCTCTGGAGATGAAAACTGGCCTGTGGTGCCGATGAGGATGTTTCTAATACAAAATGAACCCAACTGGAACCTGCAGGTCAGAGAGAAAACAGAGAGGATGGTTACAAACACGTACATCCTAATATATATAAATAATCTACATACTGTATACAGTAGACATTATTCAGGGCTTTCATTGTTGTGGCATCAACTACCCATTGAGTTACTTTTGGTATATTCGGGTCCTTATCAAAAAATCATCTAAATGACATAAAAGCCACCAAAAAGCAGATTTTTTTCTGGTTTACACAAATTTGCATACAACTCACACAACCAGTAAAAAGCACTTTCTGAACATATTAGTAAAATACTGACATTGTAGGGACAACAGCATTTTCAGAGCATCACATGGTTTGATACAGACAGGGTCATCCAATGTGTCTCTATTATACTATACTAACTTCTGAACCAGCAAATCCCAGTTCTTTTTGACAAAGTTCCAGGCAAGGTGATGTCCCCGCGGGTTTCTGGCCACCATCAGGATGACGGCCGACAGGTCCTGCAATCGAATCACCTTCCCTTCTAGACCCATATCCAGCAGCCTGCAGCACAAACACACACTGACTAAAACGCTGTAAAGCTGTAGTCATGACACATTATCTGTCGCCTGCATAGCCCTTACTCGAAGCTGTTTAGCTTATGTGCGACACTGACCAAGATTATCTGTCGCCTGCATAGCCCTTACTTGAAGCTGTTTAGCGTATGTGCGACACTGAATGAAAGAATGAAAATGAAATGAAAATAACAGTATGTGTTGGCTGCAGCAGTGTGATACAATACTCTGTGTTTGCCACATGATGGCAGCATTAACTGTGTAGAAAAAAAGTTGCAGGGAGAAGATGAACCTTTGCAGTTTGTTGGTGTCTCTGCTGCAAGTCAAGGCAAACAGGATTTTCTTTTTTTGTGCTTCAGAGAGGGAGATGTTGTATGTGTGCAAGAGTGATGCCCAGCCGTGGTCATCCTGAGCTCCAACTGAATACACCGTCTCTGCCACATCAGTGGGTAAGCTAGACAACACAGGCAGAGATATGCATATGACGAACACAGTGAAATACCAGAGTATCACTAGGAAATGCTGTTGGTTATGTGAATTATATCAGCAGTTGTTGAGCGCTAACAGTGCGTGTTGATTTAGACAGACTTTAGTGTTCCGTTGGACTGAAACCAGTCTTTGAAGCTCTGACGTGCACGCTCTATACAGGGAGGGTCATCCAGCTGACAAGCCAATGACAGGACCTTTGACCTCAGCCGTCGCTCTGACATGGAGCCGCTGTCGCTCCATGTCTGCTGGTCAATGACAGCACGGAAAAATCGCAGGATGTACATCTGTACAAAAACACACAGAGAAACATCATCTCACATTAATTTAGTTTCATGGTGATGCTGAACATCATGCAAACTGTGCAGTCCTGACTTCTTACTCCCAGACTGTGGGTTACGTCAAGCTCATTCCTTTTCTCAACCATATGGTAAAATGTCTCCAGATAGCCCAGTCCTTCGAGAAGAGGCACCGTGTGTGTCTCCGATTGCAGATAACCAATCAGGTCTAAGGCTTTATTGATCGGCAGATGACCTGCCCTTTAGAAAGAAAGACAGGAATATTTGAAAGGTTGGGTGCTGTTTCAGGTGAGATAATGAATGATGTTTTATTTATGTATAACTAGAGACATAAAGAAATAAAACTTTATAACTCATTCTTTCACACACACCCACAAACACACATCTATGCTTACGTGACCAATTGAAAGGCGTTGTGTATCAAGTGTGTCCTGTCTTTGTAGCTCAAAGCAGTGTGGTTTTCCCTCAGCACTTTGGCCATCTCATCCCAGCCACCATCGAGGGGATTTCAAAAACATGCAGCCTACAATTGATTATGAAGCTGGGAGTGCATGTGTGCTCACCCCTTTTGCAGTGTGGGCCAGAGAGGATCAGAAGGCAGGACTGTTCTCAAGAACCTGTCCTGTCTAAGCAGCAGACGAGGACCTTTTCTTGTCACAGTTACCAGAGGAATACCTTTCTGCAGAGTCCAAGTGTTCATCATGGCTGTCAGGTCCAGATGTTCCCCTGCAAACAGGTACTGTGGGAAACACATGTCACCACACAGCTTCACAAGGTCAGTTATAATCTTTGTAATTGGTAAGATGTCTGGATGTTTGTACGTTTACTAACTGCGTTCTTGGTAGCCTGGCCCCTGTTGTAACAGTGTTTTCCTGAGATGAAGTCCTCCTCTGAGCATGTCTGAAAAATAAATAAAACTGAACGTTTTCAGCAGTTTCTACTAAAACACAAAAATATTTTCTGCATGGTTTAGTCAATTCAATATACTGTAAATCATATGAACCTTAGCCACTACATTACTACTGATCACAGTACACTATAGAGTTTTAAACATGAACTTTCAGCCTTCATGGCAGCTGTTAGTTCCAAATTTGTACAGTACGAAAATTGGCTTTAAGAGACTTTAAGCCTGCTTGACATTGGTAATTTATCACAGTGGATGCCATGTCTCCATTTATTTTCATCTGTGTTTTGGTGTTTGTTCTTTTTAAATCAAATGACACTTACATCTGCATTACGGGGAACAGAGTGTAATTTTCACTGCAGTGAAAACAGGCATAATGTCCACTTTGATTAATTATCAATTAACAACTTTAAAGTCTGACATAATTTGCACCATAATGAAATGCATAATGAAAAGGACATATTTTGACAAGAGTCTGACATAATTTGCACCATAATGAAAAGAACATATTTTGACAAGCGCAAGCTCCTTGGTTTTTGCTTCCTAGTTAAAAACAGATAGCTCTCTATTTTCTTGATAATCCTTTCTAGTTATATACCCATAAAGAAAAGGTTAGCTACTTCTATTTTGACAAATACAAATCTGTCAGGCTGCCAATTCATTTTTTGATTCACAATAAACAGACAAAGAACAATGTATTGTGCTCCTACATTGGTTAGACTGTCCCAGAGGTCCTGGTTGTGTGCATTTCTGTAGCTGTATTTGCGGAGATATCGCACTATCCCACTCTGAAACACTTCATCTGTCAAAAAATGTCGCAGCATGTGCAGGACACATGCTCCCTGGTGGGAGAGAGAGAGAGAAAGGGTTAATTTGATCAATGAGCCATGACAGAAGAGGCTGTAGGTTGGTTTCATAGCAAACTGAATGCTGTCAGTGATATTCTGATACAATATTAACCTAGAGATCAGTAGTTATACAGTCATAGTTGTGTTTAGAGGCTGGTTGTACTATTTCAAATATGTACAGGCAAATCACTGAGTAACAGAAGTAGAACTATGTTTTTTTTTTAAACTCCCTGAGTTTTCAGATAATTAATTTCTCCAGATATTTACTATACAATGACTCAAGTGACTGTAAGCTGAAAGCATACTTTGTCATAAGAGACTGTGTCAAACATCTCTTCGATCTGAGTGGGGTTCTCCGCCGGGCTGGATATTGGTCGGGAGGAGTTCAACGAATCATGACCAACTGCAGCAAAACAGGTGTGCAGTAGATATTCCTCCTGATTGTGCACAGAACATGGTGATCAGTCCTCTCTCCTATGCTCCATGTAACTCCAATAATCATTAAGATCTCAGATTAAAGCAGTTACCACTTTAAGGTCCGGGTAGGTGGCTTCCACTGAAATATACTCCATGTATCTGGCAAATCCTTCATTCAGCCAGATGTCGTTCCACCACTCCATGGTCACCAAGTTACCAAACCACTGCAGCCAAGATTTTGAATTTTACTAGTCTGCATTGACTGTTTATGTAATGAAATGATTTATGAGCATTTAAACTACTGAAGATAAACAACTATTTAATACTGAATGTTATTAGCCTGCAGATACACTGTCACACTCCCACCTGGTGGGCGAGCTCGTGGCCGATCACCATAGTAACCCAGAGTTTATCAGACATAGAGGATGTGAGGGGGTCAAAGAGAAGGCTCGTTTCTCTGTAGGTGGTGAGTCCCCAGTTCTCCATTGCACCAGACTGGAAGTCTGGGATGGCTATCAGATCTGAGAAAGGGAAACAGGTGTTGAACAAAATGATCTGAGAAAGGGAAACAGGTGTTGAAAAAAATGGTAAAGAAATGTAGCAAGACAGAAATGCTTTGTGGCTTAGTTACAAAAATGATAGAGGTTACCTTGTTTTGGTAGAGGATAGCGGATGTTGAAGTACTCCTCATAGAAATCCAACATTTTGACAGCAACCTCCAGGGCATAGTGGGTTTGCAGCCACTTTTCAGGAGCGGCATAGATGGACACCTACAGACACACAACAGTGCATTAAAACAAACAAGAATCAATGTCTCACCCAGAAATTAATTATCAGTCAATCAAATATCACCAAGGAGGCCACACCTGCACCCCCGAAAATGTTGTTGCAGTGATGTGTTTGAAGTCACAGATGATGAATGCGACGAGGTATGTGCTCATCTTTACACTTGTAGCAAACTGGTCCTCAACCAGGCCATCAGCCACATCAGCTGTCTTGACCTGAAATACATACATTCGATTACTGCCATTTTTTTAGCCATTTTCACAGATTCATGTAGAAAGCATCACAAAAGGCAGCACTCACTACAGGCATGTTGGACAGGGAAATGTACTCTGGGCTCCTCCTGATCCGAACAGAGAAGTTGGCTTTGAAGGTTGGCTCATCAAAACAAGGGAAGGCCATCCGAGCACTCGTGGGCTCAAAGTGAGTTGAAGCTAAAGTTCTGAAAAGAGACATCAGCACATACCTTTTACTGGAACCTCCCTGTATGTGTAAGATATTTTTTCTAAACTTTCTGTGAAACAGTGACCCTAGTCTTACCTGGTCTGGCCTGCGCTGGTTCTGTAGGTGCTCTTATAGAAGCCATAAAAGCCTTCTGCAAGTTGTGCCCTAAACTCAATGTACAGAAAGTACTTCTTCCCCCTGCTGAGGACCCTGGGAGAGAAAATGCCAATCTGTTCATGGGAGGGGTTATGAAGAACTGGAAGAATCTAAAACAAGAAGAGAGAGAAAGAAGCCGGGTCATTTGTAGCTAACAATGACAAGTAAGCTGTAATAATAATATTTCTGCATTTTCAGCTACCTGGTCTGACAGATGAGTGAGATTCTGGTCCAGTATGGTGGCCTTGGAGATCTCTAGACCCTTGCTGTGTAATACAACCCAGTTTGTGTTGTTCTGGACATCAATCTGGATCCGTACTGACCCAGTGAAACTGAGACTTGTGAGGTTGGGGTGCAGGAGGAGGTGGTAGTGTAGAGGAATGATGTACCTACAGTATGAGACAAAGAAATAGGTTGCAGTTTTTAAGTCAGTGACTCAAAAACAGTTTTCTTTCACCAGTTTTCTTGTTGATTTTCTGTATGTGAGCATTAAACAAAAGTAACAGGAAGGTACCTTGGCAGGCGAAGACGGCTCCAGGGGAAAGACAGATTATCAATACCTAAAGGAGGCTGTTCTTCTGTGGGGTGAGGAGGGCTTGGTTCCTGTTGTGAACTCTGTGTTGGCTGACACCCAACCAGAGACAGCACTAACAGCGTCACTAACACCATTCTGGAGGAAATGTCTTTGAACCACCGATTTAAAAAAGGCCAACCCATGTGATAGGCTGGCAGCACTGAAGTATTGAAATCACTCAGTCACATCCCAAACACAGGGAGCAACTAATGACCATCTGATGTGAGAGCTGGGCACTGGTGTCGCTGGAGTAAAAACGTCATCTTTTCTTATAACCTGAAAGACATTAGTGGAGAATTAAGGACACCTCAGTCTTCCGGAAGACAGTATTCACCAGAATTCTGTCTGCTCTAGCAGAGATGTGATAATGCTTTGCTTCCTCCATCAAGGTTTGTCTTATGGTGTCAAAGGCCACAGTCTTCTATGTAGAACTAAGACAAACATGAATGGATAAATACAGCAGCTACAGTCAGAGACCTTTCCACAGTGCAACAGTTAAAATGGCTCTTCGGTCTCTCATTGGCTTTTGCTTGTACAGCAGGTTGTTATTTGTTTCATTGGCTTCAAGCTTTGGGAAGAAATGTTACAGGAAGTGAACCTTTCTGAACCATGTGCTCAGTTAGCTCTGGTAAACTGAGCTGTGTTACAAGGTCAGGCCACAACACATCTCCCTGAAGGAGACTCAGACATGTCACAAATGGACCGCATGATTTTTCCATGCAGGCAAAATAAGACCAGGACACAGCTATAACTGAAAGGTGACAACAGCTGCAGGATTATAGCTGCAGTTCAAACCAGGTCACACAGGCAGTAGTTGTGTCGTACTGTCTGAAAAGATGAAGCTGTAACAACAACCTATGAGTTCACCAGTAGTGTAACTACCTGTGGACAAGAGTTAAAACGTTACCATTAGTAAAATATAGCTTGTCTTGTCATTGCTTTATAGGTCATGTTGAAGAGAAATGTCAGAATGTTTTACCTTTTAGCTTCATCAGCCTTCCTTCTTGTCCCTACTGTTAAGTTTCACTTTCTCTTTTAAGTTCCCGCCCACTGCAGAGGCTAAAAAGAAAAAACAAACCCTGCCAGAGTGTGCATGTGTGTGTGCACCACTGCAGAGGCTAAAAAGAAAAAACATGCACACCCTGCCAGTGTGTGCGTGTGTGTGTGCGGGTGTACCCCACATGAGTGTTGTCTAATGTTCAGGCTGGGTGTGTTGATATGATCAGTTTCTCACCTCAGTTAATCACCTTTATTTGGCCAAGCATGTTACACACACACAAGGAATTTGTTTCCAGTATAGAACCAGAAGGTTTCACAGTTCACACTGCAGGTCAGGACTCAAACCATGGCATGAAGTCCAAGGAGCTCTCTGTAGACCTCTGTGGCCTGACTGTAGTGAGGCCCAGATTAAGACCAGGGAATCAAACCATGTCTATGAGGGCTTTTAGCAGCATGGACAGTGTGACTGGTCAGAACTGAGGGAAGACTGAATGCAACCAAACACAGAGGCATCCTGGAAGAAAACCTGTGACTGGGGCGAGTGGCAAAAATTAGTAACTTTATTGATTTCAAATCAAATCTACAACTAAAAAACGTCTGCAAAAACTGAAGGGCTCTGAATACTTTGTGATGTGTCTGTGCAAACACACTGAATGAGCACCTGAACTCACCTGTGTTTGTGTCAGATTACTGGGGAGACTCTGGAGACTCTTCAACCTTCACCTGGGAGGTTAGTTTATCTCCTGATTCAGTTTCTATCCAACTACTCATTGTACTGTGGTTTACTATACTACACTAAAGTAAGGCACACCTCAGTAAATGCAGTTTTTTATTGTTTGAACCTGTGATTAAATCATTCAAGACTAGCATGACAGATGAGATCATCCCATGATTTGCTGTATATTATACTAAAGTGCACTAACAAAGTAAACATTCTATAAAACATTGTTATACATCACTACAGTATACTATGCATTTACATAATTCTATTATGTTAGTACTATGTAGAGGTATATTGTACTGTATTATATTAGTATTATATTATATATTGTGTGTGTGTGTCTGTGTGTGTGCTGGGATGTGGTAGTACCATTGTTAATATAAGGTCACAACAATAAGACTTATCATTTTCCCATAATGCAGTGCTCCTTTGCAGAGCCAAACGGCATGCCCCCATTTTACAGGCACACAAACACACACACCCTCCCACACACAGGGCAATGATCAGCAAACACAAAAGTTACTTTAACTGAAGCAGACATGACAGAGCCATCCAGAGGTCTCCTTTACCTTCCATTTATCTACTTATGGACTGGTAAGTGATTGTAAATGTTTAATACAGTATTCTGGTTAAATTAATAAGCAGAGAAATTCCACATCCCCGTTTTGTGAAAGACATAAATGTCCAAAATATCAACTTTCAGAGAGACTTGGTCTTTGTTCAGCGTATGACCATTTGAGTCAGTGGCTGCTGAATGTCAAGTAAAATCCAACTAGTTTTATTTTTAAAGACCAAAATACAAATTTGCCAAAAAATCTTTGACTTACTTTACTGCTTACTACATCAAAATCACACATATTTATGCAAAAAGATTAAAGTCTAAAAGCAAATCATATCAATATTTGCAATAGCATTTGTGAAATACATGAATGCGTGGATTATGAGCTTTTACAGCAGTTTTAAATTTTGTCTATATAAGTTAAACAGCAAATACAGTATGTCATTTTTAGAGGAGATGCCTCATATCTACAGCTAGGATATACACTTTGTGTACTTCACTGTTGTGTTTAAACCAGTGCATAGCATTTCATAGTATCATCTTCTGTTTTTGTTTATCTGTAATCCTCTTCACATGATCCCCCATCCTCCACTTGGCTCAGGAGGGGTAGAGGGTGATATGCTGGCATCTCTGGCCCCTCCAGTCCACCTGTCTGGTGAAAGGCTGGGCTGGACCCTACTGGTTTGTATGGTGAGTGATGTCAGGAGAGGGCACCTAGAGGTTAAGTGGAGGTCACCCTCTGATGGCTACAGGTCCACCGCACCACACAGCATCGCTGTAAACAAGAGGCACCGCGGACACAGCGCTGTGGCGATAATCACAGTGGCGACCAGTAACTGGCCATCATTCAGTTGCACTGTAAGTCACAGACGACACCCAAAGGTCAACAGGAGACACCGCATCTCCTCATCGGGTAGGTCTATAGTGAATCACATGAGCATATCAGTGTCATTATTTTTCACTAAGACTATGGCATGTTTTTATAATTTCAGATGATCAAGACAAGATTTGCTATGAAAACGAAGAGACGGAAGGTAAATTTTATAAACAATCTAAATAGTTTTCTGTGATTTATGCTGTACAGATGTTGTTCTTCATGTTGGTCTACGTGGCTTGATTTCCAGATGTTGACGTGTGGACAAACACGGTGGTTGTCCTGGCTATGAGGCTGCTTCTCATGAAGATCATCGTTTTTAACACTCTGATGACCATTTATGCTGTTATTAAGTGGTAAGAGTCTGTATGGACCAAAATGTGATCAGTATAGCATTAACCACAGAAACATACAGCACAGGTACAGTTCACTCATGTGCAGGCAACTGTGGTGTCATTTGTACATGTGGTATAAGTACCCACTGTACTATGACATTGTCTAAACGTCTGGCAGATTGTTTTATTTACCCTAAATTATTCCTTAAGTTTTAATGGTGTATTTGACTTTCCAGAAATCGAAGACTTCTCATACACGGTGTGAACTTCAAAACAAAAAAAAAGATCCTGCAAATGGGAATTGTTTCTTGTCTGAGGTCTGGACAGTGATGAACTCGCCACTGATAGATAAGTATGTTCCCTTCCTTGTGGTTGACTTCAGGAAGGCTATTTTACACTAAGCTTTGGAGTGGAATCTTGTGGATTAAATGGGAAATGATCCACTGCCGGGACCACAGGAGACGCTGTTTTCAAAATGCTAGAAATCTTTTGTCGCGCCAATTTCAGCCTCTTGACATTGACATCCCAGGTGTTGCTGACTGTGGCAGTTGTGTTTCTGAGGGCAACCCTGGTATCTGATTGAAAGCTAACCTCAGACAGATGGGTTAGTGCACGCGTGTGTCTCAGTGTATGTTTGTACATGTCTTTATTACATTTTATGTTGTGAGGAAATTTTAACTTGACTTCATAACTTCAAATACTGAGGTTAGGTTGAGGTCAGGAGTTTAGCCGTGATGGTTAGAGTAAGGAGCTGGGGAATGTATTATGTCAGTGGGTGTCTTCATAAGTACAGTAAGATTTGTGATTTTGCCAGAATCTCTGTGTGTATGTGTGTGTGTGAGTGTGTAAAGTCTTGCTCATCTTTGCTTTTGAATTTCTTTTGTGTTAAACATTTGTCTCAAAATATTTGGACATTTTTAAATAAACATAATTTTACCTTTTTAGTTTCCTCATTTTGCTTTGTTATACTCCTGGAAAAGTAAAATTAATAAAAAGCAAGTGCACTTATATGGTTTTGACTTTATTGTTTTTTAAATAAAACACTTGCACACAGTTTGTATAATCAATTTACCCCTTTTTGAGCGCCTTGAGTAACACAGACATAGCAACAGAGGACCACTAGGTGGCAGTACAATCACATCTGACATTTCGTTTAAATTATTATCCAACAGCAAGAATATGGAGCTTAACTTCCTCTACAAGACACTACGTTCATAAATAAGTTAAGTGTTTCAACGTTGACCAGTCTTTCTTCACCACACTGACACTCACACATGATGTAAGAGATCACAATGCCAAAAAAACTTGAGATCAAGCTTATAAGGCCAAACAAGTGGGACATAATTATACAGAATGTTACACGTTAGAAAGGCTCATAGTGGTAGGTGTTGACATTTCTACCAGGTATCAAATGGCGTTCATTTTCCACGCCACAATGCTGAAGCATTTATCCCAGCAGACACTGGTGACACTTCCTCATTGATTGGCTGTGTTTAGTTTACACTCCAGTATCTTACACCTATCCCAGTAAGGAGCAGCTTGTCAATTCTGGCAGCAGGAGAAAAAACAGTTTACAGTAGCAAGTTTAACATCAAGAGAGAGGGAGACGATGTGAGAAGAAGGATGCTGGTTTGGTGGGGAGTTATCATTTCCTTTGTACATAAAAAACATACATAAGCTGTCTTTGGCTCAAACAAAAACAACAGTGAATATGCTAAGTAACAAACATGAGCTGGTATCATCACAGCTGCTTGGCAAAAAGGTAAAGGAAAAAAAAAGAACAAAAAAACAACTGGTGCACCAATATACATGTGTGCATGTGTGCACACATGCACACATTTGAAATGAAGACAAAGGAAAACAGCTATTTCAATAATACAATTTCAATAACACAGCAACAAAACAGCACTGATGGCATCTTCTGTGATAATATTCACATACAATACATCCAGCAAAAAACACACTGATTGACTTAAAATGAGGTGCTGAGTCGAGTCAGCTACTGGAAGAATGAAGCATTTTAACAGAAATGGCAGTTCATTGTACTCAACTGACTTCTACATGAAGGCATTGGAGAGTTTGGTGCAAGACAGTAAGTGAGAGGAAGAAATACTGATGTGGATTTGTTAAAAAAATCAAAATAAAGTGCTTCTGCTAAAACAAACATCCTCTGTCTGAGGTATTAAAGAAAATCACATCAAATGGCACAAAAAACAACTCAACGCCATTACACTGTGCACTGAAGACAAAATGAACTATTTACAGTCTGGAGTGTACCTCCACAAGAACATCTGTGTCACTGTCAGTGGCATCCTATCCAAAGATGCAGGCTGTCATCACATCACGTGTTTTTTTTTTGTTTACCTCCAGAGGGCTGATTCTGCCAGGTGGGATGCAGTTAGTGTTGTCTATCGCCTGTGCCTGCTGGGGGATCTGCCACCTACAAAGATGTCTAGTTCCCAGTAACTGTCCAGCCTCCTGTTTCCTCTCTGTATAAGAGAGGAAAATTCTCTTTCTAGTGCACACACATACTGTACACAAGCCCACATGCATGCAGGCACACACAAAGACTCTCACTCCTGCTATTACATCAACGCCATGCTTAGCACACACAGCAGGAGCAGAGCAAACCGTCTGATAGAATGAGGATCAGAGTGCAAAGCAGAGGTGGCAGAGCCACGGGGGTAGATCCTCCATCTATCTCGGTGAGGGTGAAGACTCTCCATGTCCTTCTGGGCACTGTATGCTGCCACTGTGAAGTTAGCATCCCCAGTGGTCAGGAGATCAAACACACAGGAGTGGAAGTAAATGTCCTGCACCTCCAGCGTCTCCCTGCAGCGCTGCTTAGCCCCCTCCACACCAAAAATCTGCATGGCACCGTAGGGGGATTCTTGTGTCTGTGAGGAGTAGCTGGGTCGACGCAGCTGCTGAAGCTGTAGGCCAAGTGCAGGAGGGGAACGGGGCAAGGGAAGATACCCTGCTTGGTCAATGCGTTCTCTGCTGGGGCAGCCGTTCAGACAGAGCTGCAGGTCCTGGGTAGCATCGTAGGCCTGAGCCAGTTCTTCTGGGATCCGCACCGCCAGGGTCAGGTAGTGGCCCAGCTGGCGAACGATTACAGTTACACCAATGTAGCCGGCATGCAACTCTACGTGGCGCCCTGGGGTGCGCTCAGAGATCCACAGGGCCCGGACCTTCCCAGTTGCACCATCTGCACCAGCAAAAGTGTGGATGGGGTCTCCACTGCTCACGGTGCCATCATCAAAGGCAGCAGGGAGGTTGTCTGTGACGGCCTGGTAGACCCTCTGGTCTGTGCAACCCTCATAGGGCTTGAAGATGATGGTGATCTAAGGAGTGGGAGAAAGGGAGAATGGGGCAGGTTAACTTGTAGACACATTTAAATTAAAGTGTGTTCAACACATGTCAGTGTTAAAATGCCTAAAAAGATATACAGTTCACAGTCAAAGTTGTTTAATTAGATATAGGAGATTAGTAGAACATAAACAATAAGTTAATTAATCAATAAGTCAGTTATTTAATAATAAATCAATAACATTAACCGTTTTTCAGTATGACATTTGCTGGGTTCCTTTGCAATATATGTCATTAGTCAATTAATTATCTTTAAAATTTCGACTGTTAGTTGGACAAAACAATCATTTGAAGACATTAATTTGCGCTTTTGTAAATTGTGTTGGTTATGTTTCTATTTTGTTTAAATCATTTTTTCAAGCAAAAAAATGTATTATCTGTTGAAGAAGTCCTGTTTTTCTCGTGTTTGTGTCAATGCAAATTGAACTGAACTGCACGTTCACTATTTTATTGACTAAAACCGTTAATGATAATGGAATGGTCAGTGGTTATAGCCCTAGAAATAAGGTAGGACGTCTCCCTTGCTCACACAAACACACACAAATATTAACATTCAATTCATTATGCCTGTTACTGGCTCTCATCACTCTACATCTGAGAAATGACTTTTTAACAAGTTGTCATTTGACACAGCTATGCAAACATGTTGACATGTGCACACACATCTGTACAGCTATCTTTGTGAGGACACTCACTAACATCATGCATCAGCCCCTTACCCTAACTTAACACTTACACTAACCCCAACATAAACTACCTAGTTCTACCCTTAACCCTAAAACCTTGACAAATACAAGTAAAAACACACAGGTCTCCCAGGCTGAGTGGAAGCAATGGTGGCTACTGGGTGTGGTGTGAGCATTACAGTTAGCACTGCCATCACAGTTCCGGTGAATGGCTGCTTTGTTCACATGACAGCCGTGAGGAATGAGGCCTAGCAGGCCATTAAGCCTGGGGGGGCTGTTAATGTGTTTGTTTGTTTGTGTATGTGTCCATAATAATCGTGACTAATAACTTGCCCCACCTCCGACACAAGGTCAAACTTTTAGCTCCACAATGTAGCAAACCCACTATTTGCTTAATGTGTGTGTGTGTTTGTGTTTCTGCCTGTGAGTGCATGACTAAGTGTATGCATGGGTGTGTATGTGCTTTAATAATTAAAGCTATCGACTAAGCTAGAGAGGGCAGATTATCGGGGGAAACATCAACACTGCTTCTTTAACACCACAAAGATCACATTGTATGGCTCATCATCTATTTAGTGATGTATTTGTGCATGTGAGTATGTATTTTTTGTCATACAGGGGTGAGGACCTTTAATAGATATGATGCTTTAAGTTGAGTGCATGGAGTGCCACTTATGATACACACACATATACTTGGAAACACACACATATGTAAAAACAGTCGGTCCTTTCACACATCTCATTTCAAGTTATTAGAGGTCAGGCTATACGCAGCCATTAACCAAGTTAGGTTTCCAACACCGGCTCGGTCACAAGAGACAGTCATAAGATCAGGCAGTTAGCCTCACACCTGTGAGTCAGAGGACGCGAGACATACAGCGAATGAGACAGAAAGAGAAAGAAAAGCAGAGCAGGGAGAACAAGTGTGTTTTCCAGCCTCACGTTGATAAGATTTCATTCTCCAAGGAATAGAAAAACAACTTAGAGTCCATTATAGAAAATGTTTCTCTCTGACACACACACACACACACACACACATAAATAACTATATTACACCAGCTGCTCTCACTTAAGAACCTCTTTCAGCCTTAATAGCAGCAAATTAGGCCCAAAAACCCTTTCTCTCTGCATCCCCTTTATAACAGTTCTGTTCTCACCTTATTGGTTGCTGTGGCACTGGAGCCAGGCACCACGGGGACATTAGTGACCTGCACCGACAGATAGTCATTATCGATGAGAGGCCATGCCCCCTCCACTTTACAAGTCTGGAAGCTGTCCTTAAATGTCCTCAGGTGTGGGTCCCCGAACAGCCCGCAGAACAGGTACGCAGGCCGAGAATGGCTGTGAGCATGAGAGTGTGTGTGCAAGTGGGAGTATGTGTTGGTGTGCTGGGTGCGGCTGTGATAGTTGCAGGGCTCCGGGTGGACCTCGGTGTGTGTGGAAGAAGTGGGTCCATCTCTGGAGCAATTCCTCTGGCTCATGAGGTCAGAGATGCCCAGCACAGCTGAATGGAAGACCAAGTTCCCCCGGCAGGACTTGGCTGTCCTCTGGGTGCAGGCTGAGTATGTGCGCAAAGCCTTGCAAAATTCAGTGTGAAAGCCATCCACGGCTGAGGTCAGGTGAGAGGTCAGGGAGACAAAGTCGGTGGTGCACTTCTGGATACGACACTGAGGGGTGACCACCTGGCACTGACCTGGGGAGGACACAGACAGAGTCAGAAATACTGCCATAAAGTAATATTACTACAGTAATAAAGGTGGATCACTAGCTGGAAACAGACAGGTCTGATCAATCAGGTATGATTTAGGCCTGGATGTTAAATAGAAGTGTAAAGTTGATGCAATCACAAAAGACAACTAAGGTTACTGTGTGAGAAGGCTTTGATTTTAAACTCACAGTTCTACCAGCCTGCTAAATCCAACCTAATAAAACTGGAAAAAGAACCAGCCGCTGGTTTAAGGTCTTGATCAATCAGCGGTGCCGCTCAGTGAGCGTAATAAAGCTGAAGGGTAATAAACCAAAGAAAGGAAAGAAGGTTTTCCCATAAGGAGTGAGATAATACTGCTTTTATAACCCAGGAGCACATAACACATAAAGTGTGTATATAGAGAGAGTAAGACAATGCAATGTGTGTGATGCATACAAACTAACACAAGCTTTTACTGTTCCATTTTTTGTTGAGATGGCTTTTAAAAGGTGCTGATTACATTCAATGTCATTTTACAGTGTTGTGTTTGCAATCTTGTGTGACTACAGCAGAGAAAATACACGATCAAAAATTAAATATAACTAATAGGTTTTGTTTCTGTCATTTTAATGTTTGTTTACTCAGTGCCCAGAGCAGGCTGCTGTAAGAAAATGGATCCAATACACTGATTATTCTGTCCTTGTATACTCATCAGGAACAAATTTCTTGGTCTGAAATTGTCTCTGATGTTTTATCTATTGCTGCATTTCTGGATGTAACAAGGGTCAAACCAGGCTTTTATATCATAGATCATCAGAGAGAGAGGGAGTTAGAGCAAGAGAGAGATTAGAGACCAGACCTAATGCATCAGTCACAGTGTGCTCCTATTAGATTAGGCTAGAGAGAGAGGCTCTGCACTGTATGGGCAGCTGCACACACACACCCAGGATGGCTATCTTAGCAAGAATGCTGGTTGTGCTTCCATTAAATGCAGCCTGTGATCTTCAGATGGTGGTATGATCTCCTAATGGCCAAGCAAAGGGAGAAAGTACATGTTCCTTACTGAAACCAACCATAAACTAACACATAAACACTCGCCAGCACAGAGCACAGTACCTCTATGTACATTTTAGATTTAGATTTTGGGGCGTGAAGTAGTTTGATGCCACCATTTGGGGGCAGCAGGGGTCTGGGTTTTGGTACAGACCCCTACTCACACCATGCTTCAGAATCTCTCTCCTGTCTGTTAAATACTGACACCAACTTACAGACAAACACACACACTCAGATACACATACACAGGCTGCCTTCAATGCCAATCACCACTGTACAGACAGTCTGAGTACTGAGGACACATTGTGTCTTTGACTGGCCAACAGCCTCGTTCTTTCCCTCCTATCTGCCCTGCAGTACCTAAATACCACTCCCAGTCTAATCAGGGTGGATTTATTCTTTTTCGGAGGGTATCAGAATCATGGGCACACACAAAAGCACTCATTCACTGACAGTTTCCCAGAATGGTGACGCAGAAAGAGAGGAGTCACCCCTGTAACTGAAGGAACTGCTGACTTACATAAATGTTCAAACCTCTGTGGACAAGCTGAAGTTTCAGTCCAGCTCTTATAGGTCTTACGTCCTGCGGGTGCACAAGGCAACAAGAGTATTTTCATATGATAATTAATAATGGTCCTGACAATATTAAAGTGCAATTTTCATTTCTTTTCTTCAAGTCTTCCCATGATCTCCCTTTTGTGAAGGTGTCCTCTTAAGCGTCCTTTCTAAGTATGCATAGCTGCACTTCCAAAAGAAAATCCAATCTATGCATATAAATAAGCAATTTGTGGTCAGCTGAGAGGATGTGATGAATTCGGAATTGACTTGAAAATATTGTTAAGAAAAGAATAAAGAACTCATGTGAGGAGCTAATGCGTGCGGGCCATTCAACACATGCAGAGTTTGGTTGGGTTCATCCCCTGGAGTAAGTATATAATACAGACACAATAAAACAACCAGTGATGCTACCACCACTCCTTCCATCTTCATCCACAATATTCCCCTCTCTTTTTCTCACCATCCCCCTCTCCCAGATGATTTTATCATCTCATAGAGCTCATCTCTTTGTTTCTCTCAGACCTATTTTTTCCACTTCAAACTATTTTCCTCCATCAGCACTATTCTGTTTTCAGCCCTCTCAACCGGGCTCCCTGGGCAGTCTCCTCAGCCACCTGACTCACAGAGGTCAAAAGATCCACCAGCTGAACCTCCCAGGCTCGGTTTAACATTTCTTTGTCTCCCTGTCTGTTTGCCTCCAACTTCTCTGATCTTCAGAGATCAGAAAAGGATCTACTGGGATCATCTCTCAACCGAAGGGATGGCTTGTGAAGTGCTTATTGATCACCTTGTTGTGTGCACTCTCTCACACACTGATCTCAAATCACACAAACAGCCCTCCAAGCTTAGAGGTACAAAGCTTTACAGGAGCTCATGACAGCACACACTCTTTAAAAAAATCTGAGCATACACATGGAGCTGACCATGACTAAATCCTGTGAAATGTTTGAACAAATAAAACATTCTGTTTGGCTAAAGAGGTTAAACAATACACAGTATTTCCAGGTGACGCACGTGTAGCAGAAGGTGCCAAGAGGGTCTTTCATGTGAAGCGGGTCTCTCTGTTCCCACCAGAATGCACGTGTGCAGATGTGGTTTTGTACCGTAGCCTGAGCCATGTCAAACTAATTACAGGAGGTGTGACTTTTCAACAGACAGCCGCCACAACAGCCAACCCTGTGCACACAGAAACTCGGCCAAATGGAAAAAAGGGAGGTCATTATACTATTTTTTGCACAAAATGAGAAATGAATCCTACGAAGTTAGTAAATCTCTGTATTGCCGCAGAAAAAGGGTGTCACATTATGCTGGTGCATCAATAATCCTTACAACCTCATTAACTTTGGCCTCCAGTAAAGAGTCTTGTTTTCTTTCTTATCTAGCATTTGGCTTCCAGTTTCTCCTTTTGGTGATCCTTACAAAATAAAACAACCTTGAATATAAAGGAATTTGTGTTCAGAAAAGCATTACGTTATTCCTTTTCCTTTAGCCAACACTGTATTAACATTAATTACTTTGATAGTATTTCTAATGATGCCTTTTATTAACATAAGCAATATTCCACAATAGGTTTAGTCAGTTTTAGGACACAGTACAATCCTAACTTTAATTATCAGATTTATCCTTGGGTGCATTTTGTCAGAACTGTTCTGAGAAAAGCCTTAATCTGCTATATAGCTATGAGCATGATGAGAGGTAGTCACCCTCTCTCGCCTTCTCTTCCCCTCCTCCATGAGCCATTAAGGGGCAGACGGGAGAATCACGGCCCAGGAGGAGAAACTCGATCCGAGCCCAGACTGCTGCACTGCCGCTGGAGAGACAGCCACTGTCAGGCCCAGCCCAGGGATCGGCCACACGGTGATGACAAACGCGTAATAACCAATAAAGTTATCTCTGGGCACTAAATGCGCGCAGCTAAACTGGATAACAAAGTGGATAAAATTGCAGATTGGCTGCGATTACGAGCGAGAGACGTGTAGTTGCGGTGCTGAAGTGTATTTAGTTACCTATATGAGCACCGTAGCAGAGAGCGATGATCAGCACCAGCAGTGGCAGGAAGCGGCGCACCAGACACGGGGAGGCGAGGCGCTCAGCCCCGCGGCAACTGCATTCGGCTCTCCCCATCCCCGTCCATGCAGGGCCAGGAGGGGAGAGTGGACAGACCTCCGAGGGGCGAGGAGGGGTGGCGTCCAGGCCCTTTCACTTCTTCTTCCTCTTCTTCCTCACTCTTCGCTCCTTCTCCTCCTCGGGTGCACAGGGGCATGAAAACACAGCTGCTCCGCGAAATGCAGGGCGGAGGGAGTGGAGAGGCAAAGACAGGAGGAAGGCAAAGTACAACCACAAGTCACTTTGACGACACTTTTACTTTTTCCTTGTACAAATCCACACCACACGTGATTTAAGTGCGCTGCCTTCGCGGTCACACTTGTGCCTTGATTACGACCATTCTGCGCTCCTCTCTCTCGTCCCAAACATGCACAATCACATCTCTCTCCCACACCAGGACTGGGTTTCTCCTCCACTCCTCCCCTTTCACTTTCTCCTCCTCCAGCTCCCCTGCCCCTCCAACAAATCAATAAAGAATCAACCAAACCCTGCAGACGGAAAACCCGCCTACAAGCACGACTGACACACACACACACACACACAGAGAGAGCGAGAGAGAGAGAGAGAGAGAGAGAGAGAGAGAGAGAGGTCTATAACATCAGAAAAGTTATAAAACATTAAAAGGGCATTAAATCACTGTGTACTCCGAAAGGAATAATAACGCTGCCAAGGTATTTTATTTGGCAGAATGAGAGGTGATCAAGACAAGCTTCAAAGAATGTTTTATAATTCTGAGAGAAAACGGGAACATACTTTCCTGAGAAGACAGTTGATATAGAGAAAATTGTGTGTCAGCACTGTACATACAGAACATGCAAATATTACCGTTTTTCTGCAATGTTTTCCACAGGAACAAGCCAAAGAATTTATAAATCAGATATTTATTTATTTTTGTTTTGTTGTTTGTTTCAGGGACCATGCATGCACATTTAAGACTGGAATTATCACACCGAAATTAATTACAAAAATATATTAAAACCAAAATAAAACCATAATCTGAAGATGTTATGTTGACTTGTACTTCAGGAGGACTCACTGCTCAACCCAGATGAATAATCTGCCTTTAGGCGTATTTAATCCAATGATCGAATGAACTGGTGTGGAGGGAGCACATCTGTGACATAAAAAGGTCCAGACATAACAACACACAGACACAGTATCTGTTGACAGCCGTAAATCTGTACAGCCAAACAAAGGTGCAGAAGGTATAAGGTCAGCAGACGATGTAACCACCCTCCAGCGATAATGACAGTCACAGAACACTGACTACACAATATGCAAATCAGCCTGTACCTTTGCTACCTTTGCTGGTGCTTTTGATTCCCTCCGCCTCCAGCAATAATCACAAATGAATAACTTCAGACCCACTTTCTAGAGATTTTTATTGGAGTGAAGTTGAACTTGAGGCAAACTTGTTTTTTTCCAAGTAAAGGCCACATAGTTGGACAATTTTCAAAGTAAGTGTGGAAGCAGCAACAATTCTGGATCAACTTTTGACTAAGTGTGCAAATCTTCATTGTGTTTGTTCCTTTAATGTATTCTGCCAAGACAGTTAGTGTGTTAAAGGCGTGCATGTGTGCATGTGCAGGACTGTTTGCGATGAGCCTCTGCTGACGACCACATTCTGCCAAATGGTGCCACCCTGGTTTTACTTGTTTTCTTGTGTATGTGCATACATGTGTACTGTGTGTATGTGTGCGTATGTGCCTGTGTGCACGCAGCATAGTTTCTCTGTGGCTGTTTTTTTACGTGCTGTGTCATAGCTGAATACATTTTTTCTAACATGACTCACCTACTGTACGTGCACTTATATCACTGCTGACCATAAGTTTGGTCACAGGTACTTGTTCCCTACTGAATGTGGCAGTAAAATAAACACACAATAAAACTTCAGAGGAGATTGTGCATTATATTAGCTTCGTGCCTGTGTCAGAAACCTCTGATCTCACCAGTGAGGAAGTCTGCATGTTTGTGTGTCCATGACTGAGGAAACTAAGCACATTTACATAAGTACTGTACATGTGTACAATTTGAAGGTACTTTACTCAAGTATTTCCATTTGACATTAATTTACTGTATGCTTCTACTAGACTACATCATAGAAGCAAATAGTTTTTACTTGAAATAATGTAATAAATAATACTCTGAGAAGAACCATTTACTTTTTAGAGGATTTTTTTAGTGTTAATTACCAAATAAAAGGCATTAAATGCCCCCAAATACTTCATAAATATACAGTATTCATCATTAAACCAAATGAATCAATGGCTTTTGGAAGAATGGCGTTCATCCCTCCAACAGCTGAAGCTACAGAAAGCTCCCGTTGGGCCAATATCTTACTTAGACACCTAACACTGTTTAACTTGAATTTGCCAACCAGTTGTACATCCTGCACACCAAATATTGGGTCGGGGACTAAATCGGTGGAGTTCTGACAGTTAGACGGCCTCTCTCACCAGCCTGTCTGCTTCTCTGCAGAATGAGGCACACTAGGTGTACATTTCATTTAAGCTAACACTCTGAATACAGATTGGTGAATTCAATTACATGCGTGCATATGGTGCTATTCATCATGACTAATTTCATATTTCATTCTAATCACACATCCGCCTGCATGGACACACAGAAACCTAGATAACATATGACCCTATTCATGGAGTTTAATTCTATATTTCATACTAATTCATTTAATCAATTACACCACAGCTGAGACCCGGGAGCGGTGGATGCTCAAATCAACCCACCCTCCTCATACATCTGTCCATAGAGCTACTCTGCCCGGTTATACATCCATTCACACACTGCCTCAGGCACAAAGAGAGTCTGTTTCTGTACGTCCAGCTTGTCTTCACCTCCACACCTCTGTCTCCCTTCTCTGCTTCTACCTCTCTCCACCTCTCCCACACCCCACCTTAACTCCAAACAACCTGTCATTCAACAAAAAGGTTCTCACAACTCCAGAGTACACCTGTGCATGCATGTGTGAGTGTGTTTTTACATGTGAATTTGTAGGTGCAGAGAGTTTACATTGTCAAAGACTGTGTTTAGGAAAGGTGTTGCAATGAATTGCTAACACTCACATACTGATGGAAGAATACGAGTCTTTAAATGAATCAAGATCAGTACAAACATGTTGAAATATGTTGGTATGTGTAAAGGTTCTGCAATAAATATTCTAGTTCAAGAGTATTACACTTAAAGAGTATAACTGATTGTCTCTAAAGAAGATCTGAGATAAAATGTGTTAATTAAACCTAAGTAGGTATAAGTGTAAGCACATCACTGCACTTGGATATGCAAAATAAAACTTAATTTCAGAAGATAATTAAAACAAACTGATTTGCAGTGATTTGAATATAGGCTGGATTTATTTATTTATTTTACCAGACTAGTGTTCTGTTCTGTTTGTTTGTTTTTATGTTTTGAAGGGGGTAGAAGCTGTTTGACAAGAAGGAGATTTTTGCAGCAAACAAATACAACAAAATTTAAAAGAGCTGTTGAAAGTGGCTGAAGCTCTTAAATAAATGGGAAGTAAAACGCACAACATTCTGCCCACAAATAAGTATGAAATGAAACAGGACATAAAAATATAAATTATAGTGTGCTTGCCATGTTTTAGTGGTGTCCATATTCCATGTGTGTAAATCTATAGGCTATATACGTAGTGCAGTCATAAATTCTCTAGTGGAACATAAAAAGTACTCTGCATGAACAGCACTTTGTGCTAACAATCCCACAATGCAATGCTGCAGTTTTCACAGTTTGGAGTGGTGGAGATGCTGTCTAACACATCAGTCCAAAATCTCCCATAGGTGTTCAACTGGGCTGAGATCTGGTGACTGCAAAGGCCATAGTATATGATTCATATCATTTTCATACCTGTCAATGCATTCAGTGACCCCTTGTGCCCTATGGATGGGGGCATTGTCATCCTGGAAGAGACCACTCATTTATTCAGGTTATTTTTTAATTTGTCACCCGTCTGTATATTGGCGTTCAGGTTGGAGAACTTGTTGGCTCAGTCTCAGTGCCAGCCACCACATCGCATGCATAAAAATACGACTCACTCTATTTATTACTCATAAATGTGTGGTAAAGGTAGAAGGGGCCTGCAGCTGTGAGTGTGTGTTTATGTTCCTGATATGAGATGATTTGCATAAAAGATAAAATCCAGGTATCAGAGCCTCTTGTAACGAGAATGGACACCCAATCCTATAATAGCCTGTTTGATAGCTGTTTCTCTCTCCTGCCAAAATCATGTTGTGTTTTAGCTGACCTGGCCTCATCAGACTGTCCTGTGTCTGCACATTCATTCCACTGCTACCAAGAGAAAGAGAGCGACTGAGGCTGGTTTCAGGTGACTCTATATAAAATGTGTCAGAATGGGAAAAGTGAGAACACTTAGCTTGGGGTTGTTTTATCTTTTCAAATACTGAAGAGAGATGTATCATCAGAGAGCTCAGAGGAGTGGGAGAGGATTCCTTTAATGCAGGCTAGAGAGAGACTATCACATTGATCCTTCTCTTCTTACACTCTCAACCCCAGCCTCTTTATTTCAGACCCGCCCGTTGATGTGCCCTGATTGACTGCTACTGATGTAAAAGCCAAAATATACAGTATCATGACACTATAGTTTAAAAACTAAACAGAGGATAAAAAAAAGAGCACATGATCATGATAGTGCTTTCTGTTCTGACTCTCCAAACAGATTTCTGACACTCTGCTTTCTTGTTATCACTGCCTGTTTTTATATAATATACTAGTGGAAAATAACCCAATATATTTACTTTTATACTTTCACTAAACCTATGTTGTATATTTCAGTTCAGCTACATTCACTTGACAACTACAACTACTAGTTATTTTACAAATGAAGCTGTTATTTAAACCTATAGTAAGCTTATAAAATATAATGTACTGTTATCAATTACATGATTATATATTATACAGTATATACACTAATATAATAATAACTACATAAAATGAACTCACATCAACAAATTACAGCATTCAGATGGTGCTTGAATGTTAATATATTGATAATAATATAACATCCCAAACTGGACGTGTTCTAATGAGTAATATATTTTGCTGATAATACTCCTGTACATACTTATAAAGAAGTATACAGTATTTTACACATTATTGCATTTTCTTGAGTAAAGAATATGAATATTATTTCACCACTATATTTATAGAGGCTATACATAGAATACATTTCTGTTCATTGTGTTTATTAAAGCACAAACTAGGATATCTTCAAAGATCAAATCAAATCCTGACATGAACTATACAGTATATCTATCATGTAGGATGTCACTGGTCCATGTCACTGGTTCCTGTTTTATCTTGACAAGGTATCATTCCCAGAAAAACAAACCTACTGGTATTGTATCATGAATTTGCCACAAATGGTGTGACAAATATAAGGCATGAATAAAAT